CCAGTGGCTAAACTCAAAAACAACCCAGCAATTTGGAAATATCCCAACAAAATGACCCAACCAACCAACTGAACCAACCAGTTTGGTAAAAAACAAAAACAACCCAGCAGTTTTAAAATAAATGTAGGGGTATAACAATGCTATCATACTGCCTTGATTTATCTGTATGTAACCTTTACAAATATCTAATTTTAATATTGCGTCTGAGCATTTTTCCTAACACTTTTATTTTTTTTAACATATCTTTGTTTACGTTTATGAATACATACTTTTTTGATCGGATTTATAGGTACAAAGTAAGTTAAAGAGATTATATGTATAAATATGAATTGGATATATGCACTAGAAGTATACTAAATAACTAAAACAAAGGTGTTTTAATACTTCTTCCCCCTTAAGTACAGTATTATCAAAATTAATTTGTTAGCTTTCTATGTATTTCATCTTTTCCACAGCAGATGATACATTTCTGTTTATTGCTAGTTCTACAGGACTATTAAGCATAAGGTACAGAGGTGTGCTGTAGCTGTAAGGAACAGGCGTGTTGGTGTAAGGCACCAAACATGATTTGGCTACATTTGGGGGAAATTATGTAAATCTTTCACCGGGCTTCTGTAAACCCAGTTCACACACTCAAACGCTCACACACCCAAACACTCACACACCTCAGTGCTTTAAAGAATTTAGCTAAGCCCCATAAAGTGCTGCAGCAGTTAGGAGAGTGCAGTCTGCTCGTTTTACCATGAATGATGAAGAGCGATGTTTCCACTTGACATCCTTCTCTAATGCTCCAGTGTGGTAAGGAAGGGGCATATGGCAAACACACAAGAAACTCTTCTCTGTTCTGACCAATAATCTGTGCTCAGCCTAAACCCCACAGGCTGATCCTCCCAACACCCATCCTCACTCATCCTCCCCAACACCCAGCCTTATGCCACTCTATCATGAAGCAACATAACAGAGCAACAAAATGAGAGTAAGGGGCAGAGGAAAGGGAGTAAGAATCAGTACAAGGTGATTAGGGGGCAGTAGAAGATGAGCAAAAAGCAGCAAAATGTGTGCAGTACAAAAGAGGCAGTACAAAGTGATCAGGGGTAGCAGAAAGGGAGTAAAGTGCAGTGGAGAGTCAATAATTGGCAGTAGAAGATGAATAAGGGCTAGAATCAGAGCTGGGGTAGTAGAAAGTGAGTGTAGACCAGTAGAATGGGAACAGTGGTAGAAGAAAGCAAGTAAGAGGCAGTAGTAGATGAGTGAGGGTAAGTAGAATGTGAATAGTAGGTGAGTAAGGGGAAGTAGAATAGAAGTAAAGGTAAGTACACTCTTAAAAAAGAAGGTTCTTCAAAGTTTCTATAGTAAAAAAGAAAATGGTTCTATGAAGAACCCTGAGCACTCAAAGAACCCTTAAAAGGTTCTCTGCATCATTAAATGTTTTTTTTTCTGATTTATGGGCAATGTGTTGTAGATGGTTCTATATAAAACAGCTTTGAAAAGGATTCTATATATAGCACCAAAAAGTGTTCTATTGTTATGATGTCAAGCCTGTAATAATAGAAGAACACTTTTGGCACTACATTGAACCCTTTTCAAAAAGGTTCTATTTAGAACCATAGAAAACACTCTCTTAATCAATTTGAAGAACTCGTTCATGGTGAAAAGAACCCTTTAATCATGTAAAGGGTTCTTTGAATGTTCATGGTTCTATATAGAACCATTTTCTTTACTAAAGAACCCTTGACGAACCACCTTTACCAGCAGTAGAAGGCCAGCAAGGGCAGTAGAATGGGACTACAGAGCAGTAGAATGGGAATAAGTGCCAGTAGAATGAGAGAGGGGGCAGTAAATGGTGAGTAGGGGTAAGTAGAAGTTGAATGAGAAGCAGTAGAAGGTGAGTAAGAGGCAGCAGAAACTGAGCAAGGAGCAGGAGAATGTGATATTTTAGGAGCAGAAATATAGTAACGGGCAGTATATGGCAAGTAATTAGCAAAATAATGGGCAGTAGATGGTAAGTCGTAGAAACTTAGCAGTAGAAATGGGTAATGGCCAGTAGAAAGTGAATAAGAGGCAGAAGAAGATGAGTAAGGAAGAGTAAAAGATGAGTAAGGGGCACTGAAAATAGAGTAAAGAGCAGTAGAAAGTGAGTAAAATTTAAGTAAGAGTCAGTAGAAGGTAAGATACAGGCATCAAAACGTAGTAAGGGGCAGTAAAAAATTGCATACAGAGCAGTAAAAGGGCAGTAAGGGAGCAGTAGATGGCATGTAATGACGGTCATAATAGGGCAGTAGAAGGTAAATAAGAACAGATAAGTCAATAAAGGTCAGAATGGGAGTAAGGGTCAGTAGAAAATGACTAAGACGCAGTAGAAGATTAGTAAGGGGCAGCCGAACGTAAGTAAAGGCCAGTAGAAAGTGAATAAGGGGCAGCAGAATGAGGGCAACGAGCAGCAGAAGGTCAGTAAGGGGCAGCAGAAAGAGAGTAAAGAGCAGTAGACGGTGAGTGAGAGACAGTAGAAAGGGAGTAAGGGCCAGTGGACTGAGTGTGAGGAGCAGCAGGATGTCAGTAAGGGGCAGTAGAAGGTAAGTAAGAGACATTAGAAAAGGAGTAAGGGGCTGTAGAAGGTGAGTAAGAGACATTACAAAGGGAGTAAAGGGTAGTAGAATAAGAGTAAGGAGAAGTAAAAGGTGAGAAAAGGCAGTATAAAGTGAGTAAGGGCCAGTAACAATGAGTAAAGGGCAGTACAATGAAAGTAAGGGTCAGTACATGGTAACTAAGAGGCTGTAGAAGGTTAATAAGGGATGAAGAAAGAGATTAACAGTAGTAGAAAGTGAGTGAGGGGAAGCAGAAGGCTAGTACAGGCAGTAGAAAGTAAGTAAGAAGAAACAAAAGTTGGGTAAGAGACAGCGGATCTGTAAGTAAGTGGCAAGTAGGAAATTTGTAAGAGGCAGTAAGATGGAGTAAGGTGGAGCATAAGCCGTGTAAGGGTCTTTCACTATATGAAAGAAAAAGAAAAGCAACAAGAGCAGAGTGCGTGAACAGAGCATCAGCACACTGAGTAAATCGTGTTTTCAATAATTTATCTATGTTAATGCATGTGAGCGAGTTCAGATCGGGTTTGGATTTTAAATGTAGTTGTACCAGTCTGGCCTGGTCAGATGTGCTCCTGTAATGAGAAAGTTTGGGGACAACCATGAGCAATTTTGTGTTTAATGTGGGTTGGAATGCAGACTTATTAGGCTGGTAACAAAATGAGGCTGAATCTCAAATGGCTCACTTATGCCTATGTAGTGCACAGAATACGTCATGAAACTATACTTTCTACACCAAAAAAGTGCACTAAATGTTAGATAGAGAGTTGGACAGCTTGGCTGAATTTAAATGGCTTAATGTTAGACATATAATACACTATTTGGGTATGGAAACAATCATTTTATGACTTACACAGAGTGAAACATAGTTAGTCGGGAGCCATTTAAGATTCTGCCTGTGTGTGAAATGTCTAAATCAATCCAACGTTGTTTGAATGCATGCACTCAAACACTCCTTCACTCATTCAAAAATGCTAATTTTACCTAATCCACGGCTCTTCACCTTCTACTTATTTAACTATTTTAACATTTTATGTTATTTTACGTTTAGCTTAGGTGTATGGAACCGAAAATAAATGCTGACATGCTTTGGAACCTGCTTCCATTTGCTTAGGTGTGACTCACTACAGTAAAACAACAAAGCTAAAGTAAATGGATATTTCCCTAGAGCAGCTAAGTTAGCTCCAGCCATGGAACTTTAACAAGCCGAGAAAACTCCTCTGATCCCCATCTATGGCCGGGAAACAGGAACAGAAAAAGGTAACAAATAATATTAAATAATATATGCATATAATGTTTTATTCACTTTAATGTTAAAACACAGGGTTATTATGATGCTTTTAAAAGCCATTAGTCTACTATACAGTCAATTCCCCACTGTCTCTGCTGTGGGTTTCCCAGAGTGTGATTTACTTAAAAAACTGTTCCCTGGTTTAGATTAGGGTCACTCTGCTATAACAATGGAAAACATCCCATTTTAAATGTCTAAAGCACTTGGTAATGGCTTTGGAAATTGCCTGGAGTCTGAAGTTTCTCCAGCAAGGGGTGCCATTAGTGTGCAAGTCACTATAAACCTACACTAGAAGGAGCTGATGAAGCTGTTGGGTTACTGAGTTTTAAATTGTAATTTAACGTGTGATTTTTTCTAAAGAAGATTATATTATCTTATGATTTTTTTAACTAGAAAACATCAAGCTAATTACGATATTTCGTTTTTCTGAGATTTCACAAACTGGAGCAAAACAAAAAAGCAACAGCAAAGTCACATTTAAAAAATACTACTTACATAATGTTTCACATGCAACACTGCACTAAACAGTACTAATTAACGCTCTCTTTGCAATGAGACATGCAGTTCTTCGGTGTTCGCTAAGTACTGACGATATCAACAATTTGATTACAAAAGCATATTGTGACAATGTGGCATAATTTATTACGATGACTAGGGGTGGACAATACTGCAACAAATATTATATTATGATACACTGAAACAGACAAAACAGAACCTGTAGAGTCACATACAAAGAACACTGTAATAATAATTATAATAAACCTACAACTACAATGATTTTATTGAGTGCGTCACAAACTGCACTGAACTAAATCCAATTAAACAAAACTAATTATACTCTCTTTGCAATGAAACATGTAGCTGGTCAGTGATATTGTACAGTGGCCCATACATGCAATATCCACAATATGTTCAGAAAAGCACACTGTCAGATAATTTATCCCGATGACAGTAAAATATTGTCATATTGCCCAGCCCACCCTAAACCTTTCTGCCTGTAGTAGTAACAGCTATGCAGCTGCTTCTCCACGCTGCTCTAAAGATACCACCACCAGAACAAAGTCCCAAATGCACGCCTGTTTAAATTGCGCGCACACACACACACACACACTGTCACATCTGCTTACCGTCTTCCCCCTCCTCAAACACGGGTGGTGTGTGGGACTGATGGGTGCCCATATTCCCCTGGACACACGGCCCTTACTCCAGAGAATGTGAGCATGAAGGCAGTTCCATTGCTAAATAAGCTACACCTGTTAGGCTACTGAAGAGGAGCGAGAGAGTTTCACATCATGACTAAGGCAGACACGAGCTACAGCATCCTTTCATGTGTGAGAGAGAGACAGCATCTTTACATATGTGAGAGAGAGAGAGAGAGAGAGACAGAGAGAGAGAGAGAGAGAGAGAGAGAGAGATATGCTCCTCTGGGAATTATTTTTTTCTCTCCGCCCATCCAACTATCGACTGATTTGGATTCCCCCGCGCTGTTAAAACTGCTTTGCGCGCCCTCTAGTGGGGAAGAAGGGGCAGTTGGAGCCGAAACAGACACAGTCATGTGCAAATTAGCTTTTAAGCTGATACAGCGCTCCCCGTTGGGTGGCGAACACTGCTGGGCTCGTTTAAAGAGTGGAGTTCGCTGACTGACCACTAGAGGCCATTTCTACATCCTGACTTTAGTTCTGGAGCTACATGAAGAGTTTCGATACTAAACACATTCTAGGCCAGGGGTGCTCAGTCCTGGTCCTGAAGGTCTACCACCCTGCAGAGTTTAGCTCCAAACCTAATTTAACAGACCTGATCCAGGTAATAAACGAAAACTCAACCATTAGACCTAGGTGTGTTGGATCTGAACTCTCCAGGGTGGCAAATCTCCAAGACCAGGATTGAGCACCCCATTTTCAAGAGTTTTTTTCTGAATGAGAAGTTGTTGGGAGTGTGCTTCACACATACAAGATAGATCAGTGCTGCATTATGATTAATACCAGAGGTGGGTAGTATGTAGTTATATTTACTCAAGTTCATGTACTTAAGTATATTATTGATGGATTTGTACTCTGTTTTTAAATCCTAACACTTTACTTCTGCTCTAGTATATAAGTAAGTGAAGGAGTTTCTGTTTTACTTTATTTCTGTCACTAATATTTAGTTACTAATTCCTTTTTTGTGCTTAATATTATTCTGCTTTGTTGGTGACTGCATCTGTGTTGCTTGGAGACTGGTCACATCTCTGACTTCGGAGCTTCAGCTTTTTATTTTAAAGAAAAAAAAGAGAAAAAATCTATTAAACAGTCCCTGAAAGTCAGTCAAAAGTGGAACACTGGCTCAGAGACCCACAACGTACCTGAGTGTGAAGTAAGGATCCATCAAAGTGTTGAGGATTTACAGCTATTCAGGATAAGCCGACTAAAGCCGACTTTTGTGAGGCAGCTAAATCTTATGTAATCTTCTATGTTTCCACACTTCTGTGAGTGGAGCCTAATTTGAAAAGTTGGAATCGTTGCCTCTGAACTTCTTGGGCTGGGTTTTGAACCCTAATCAACTCAACACCCTCAGATTTACCCAGATGACAAGTGCTAATGGGCTTATGCATTGTGTGTGTGTGTGTGTGTGTGTGTGTGTGTGCATATATGTACACATATTTGTGTGTTTGTGTGTGTGATGTATGAATGTGTGTGTGTGTACATATATACATACATATATATATATATATATATATATATATATATATATATATATATATATATATATATATATATAAAATGTGTGTGTGTGTACATAAACATTAAACATAAACAATCAATGGCAAAATATTTTTGAATCACGTTTCATTTATTTTAGCATTGGTTTATACTGGACAAGAATAAGACTTCAAGAAGAAAAAACACTAGGCAACATTAGCTTATATTAGAACATCACAATTCATTATAAACAATATTTTTTTAATTAGGTAAATTACACTTTTTTTGTTAATGTTAATACTGAAATGAAATTCAGGCAAATAAAAAAATCAAACTTAATACATGAATAAATAGGTTCAAAGTTAAGCACGCTGATCATCAAATTCTTATAAAGCTTACAAAGCTCAAAGGTTATGATATATGTTTGTGGCAATAGTCCTACAATTGGGCAGGCTGACACATGCCAACCATCCCCATAATCAACGTGCAAACAAACCCCACCCACATCAGGGCACAACTCTGTATTTACTATGTTAGTTAGCTAGCATATGTATCATTGGTTTTCAAATCATATATAAAAATATAGCTGATAGTCATTTCTAAAGAAAATGATATATTTTCAATTTCTCTCTTTTGAAATGTTCTATAATGTATTTACTTAGTTCTTTAGAAAAGGCAATGGTTCTATTTAAAACTATGAGTTGTATATAGAACCATTTCATAATAAAATGGTTCTTTGCATGGTGAAATCGTTCTTCAGAATGCTGGAGAATGCATTGTATAAGGTTCTATGCAGAGCCTTTTTTGAATATGGTTCTATATATTGTTCTATATACACCAAAAGGGTTCTGCTGTTGTTATGGTGTCAAGCTTGTAACAATAAAAGTTCCCTTTTTGGAGACTTGTATAACATATCCTCCATATACGTATAGAACCACATACAACACATTCTCCAGCAATGTGAAGAACAATTTCACCATGCAAAGAACCATTTTAGCATGAAACTCACGCTTCTAAATAGAACGATTGCCTTTACTAAAGCACCTGTAAAGAACTATATTTCTTAAGTGTGTACGATGTCAAGCTTGTAACAGTAGCAGAGCTCTTTTGGTGCCATATAGAACCATTTAAAGAAGGTTCTACATGTCACCATACGACATATTCACCATCAATCTGAAGAACCATTACACCTTTACTAAAGAACCTTTCAAGAACCATAATGTGTACGATGTCAAGCTTGTAACAATAGAAGAACCCTTTTTCGTGCTATATAGGACCCTTTTCAAAAAAAGTTCTATAAAAAACCACATATACCACATTGTCTATCAATCTGAAGAACCATTTCAGTGTGCCAAGAACTATTTAAGCGTGAAAGTTATTGCTTTTACTAAAGAACCCTTAAAGAGTCATCTTTTTAAGTGTGTTGACACAGTCGAGTAAAATCACTGCGTTACTTTTTTCAGTGCAGGAACGGGGCGGGGCTGTGACGCCACTCCTCCCCTTGTTGAAAAGCTGCGCTATTTGTGGTGGGACTTCAGTCTAAAGCTCCACTCTCTGGCCTCTGTTTCCGAGACTGTCCGAGAAGGCGAGATGAGAGCGCTGCCCGTCCGTTTACTCATCCTCTTCCTCAGCTTCGGCGTGCTGGCCCACTGCGCGCCCCCGACCTGCTACTCGCGCGTGCTGGGATTGAGTAAGGAGATCATGGAGACGCTGGACAAAGTGCACAAATCCTCGCGCACGGTGAGTGGACGAGTCTGTTGAGTGTCGCGGTCAGCTGTGCTTCACTGTCCTGCTGCTCTACACCTCTGCTTTTTCTCCCTTACCTTACAGACAGAGTGCGCGCAGTTTCTGCCGAAGATGTTTCTCGACGTGCACGTAAGTGTTGCAGTTTCCTCTTTCTCTTCCTTCACCGCATCAAATACTAGGTGATCAGGTCACCAGCATTGACTTCAATTTCTAAGACCGTCTTAGATCTCAGTAAGACATCTGGTGATATCTCTCCTGCATGAGGGAGCTAATTTAGATGGACATAACATCTGATGTCCAAAAAGTAGCTAGGTTTAAGTTCAGATATCAGCTAAACAATTAGCGAAGTTTCATACTTGAACATAGAATCCCCTCTAACCTTCATATCCACCAAAGTGCTACCAAACAGGTACCTTCTTGAGAACATAATCAAGTCTGCATAATTGTATTTGATGTGAAGTGCAGCACTGCAGAGAGCCAGAATTGTTCAGAGTGGTGGTGATAGGAACCAGACATCTAAAGAACCTCTAAAAGCTCCTTCAAAGAAAGTTATTACATGAAATGTAATAACTTTATGAGTATGCTGCCTGATGTCTGAGACATTGTTTTGCAATAGTTCTGAGATTTTTTTAGTCCATTCGTGGCAGAGAGGTACATGCAGGGCGTTGAAAGGCCAAATAGTACCCAAAGAAAAGTTATTGTTTCATTTACCATTATTTTGCCATAATCGTTGTAACATATAAAAGCTCAGAAGTTGGATTACATCTAAACGATTGAATTATACAGAATCTTGGGAATAACAAACAGCAGAATTCCCCTTTAAACCTCTTTCACCATCCAAAAACATGCTTTTAGTCATGAATAACAAAGTTTGCAAGCTTTATCAGTGTGAAATCAGTAGCTCTGCCTGTCTACTCTGAACTCAGCTGAACTGTAAGTTTCATATACAAAAAAACAATTGGAGTTTACGTTATTCAGATAATTTGGCAGTTCTAAATGAGTAAAACATGTTACATCAACACAGTTCCTGCTAAAAGAAGTAAAGACAAACAGACAATCTTTTTGACCATTTGGCATACTTGCTACTAAAACTACAGGTTGAGGCAAGAAGACACACTTCCTATCATAATCATGGATAACAAGAAAAGTCTGCAGTTTGGCTGCACATAAAGAAGTGCATTGAATTTACGCACTTTAAATTTGTACATTATTTACACATGAATGAATAAATTGTGAATATGTGAATATACATACACACGCATATATATATATCGCTGTTGTCGGAACAAAACCTCATATCTCCAAAATTGTAACTTTACAGGAGAAGGAAAAAAAAAGTACTTTTAATGAAAGTCAATGGGACCAGACTTTTTCCAAGTAATTTTGGGCCACCTCTTTTGGTTCATTGATCATAAATTTTACACACAGTGTGAAGGGCAACAGGTATTTTCAAATTATGTCAAAAACTGAAAAACAACAAAAATGGAGATACGAGGTTTTGTTCCGACAACAGCGATATGTAATGTATATACCTATGAAGGGTTTTGTTGCAAAATGCTTCATAAATGCATTATAAACCAAAATGCATTTCAGGATTTTTCTTTTTGTCCTTGGTATACATTGTTGATTGTAGGTTTTACATGTATGAATAAATAGAAATGCTACATTATGATACCACCTTTGTCAAAGAAATAAAATTATATAACAGGTATATATAACAGGTGTTATTCTCTTCAAAACCATTATACAGAATATACAGAATTTTGAAATAAAGCTGTTCATGTTTATACATACTATGTCCATCCATCCATCCATCCATCCATCTAAATGCATCTTCCATATGTTCCATCATGTATTTCCAAGTGAGCTAGCTGAGTGTTTGCTCGATGATATTTTGGTGATGCTTGGAGGAGGAGGTGAAAAATGTAATGTGATCAAAAATCAGAATACATTCTAGAGGTGGGCAAAAATGACAAAAGATAAGGGAAAATTTGGTCTTTGGAATGATATCATATCTAAAAATATATAAATATCTTACAAGTAAATATTTGTAGCAGTACCACTTTACTCTTTGTGACTAACACCAAAGCTCAGACATTTTACGTTCTTGTTATGTCAGCACTCATCAGCACTCAAACCTTTCAGAACGATAAACCACTTTTTGGGCTAAAAGAGTTTCAGTAGCTAATAATAATTATTTAGAATACCATTATTTTGGCAAAAGCTGCTTGTTTTAGTGAGCTAAGCACGCCAAGTAACAAAACATAGGCAGAGTCAACAGCGTCCTGAAAGAGTTAATTGAGAAGTAATGTTGAGAAGATTCAGTTTTCACAAAAAGGCAAGGTGTCCCCAAACCTTGTTGTGCAGTTGTTGTGGTCTTGTCGTTTAGAAAACCAAAGCATTTGGCTATTGTTGACTGGCCTGCATCTTCTGTGGTGGTAATATTCACTCTCTGTTCACTAATTTACCCAGAATTCCTGCATCATGGCCAAGCTGAGAGACTTCCTGTATGTGGCTGAAAATCTGCCGTTGGAATATTGTTGGGAGCGTCCACGCATGATCTACCTGAAGCGCAGAGTCCGCGCCCTCTATGCGATCATACACCGCGTGTGCTACCGGGTGCGTGAGCCTCACTGCCAGAGCCACACATGATTCTATCTAATGTGTTATAGTGTTAATGCAGATAATACGTCATGTGCTGTCTGGTGTCTCTAGCTTGTTAACTTAAGTCCATAATCAAGACTGTCTTATAGGAAGACAGCTAAAGGGACATTCCTATTGGGCAGTTCCCACTTTGGGTTTAAAACCCCATGGAATGTAAATTCATATTTTTTTTCTATGACAAGATCCAAAATCCAAAATCATGCTCAAAAAAAACAGGCAGAGGTCAGAGCCAAAATAAGCCAGATATAACAGTAGAAAGACATGACAAGAGAATGTCCAGGCAAGCAATATCAAACAGGGATCAGGCATAAAGCAAAGTCGAAAGATACAAAAATACAATCAGATACGCAGAAAGAAAACACGGAATCAACACTCAGTAGATTAGAGAAACAAGCAATACCTCACACTGAGCTAAGCTAAAGTCCAGGCTAAAATACCAGCTGGCCTAGTCACATCATATGATACACAGGTGCGGCAAATCAGTAATCAGGTGAGGTGGATCTCTGATACATGGGCTGATCTAATGTTACACTCATGTGATCTCCCTAATGATTCTAGTTAATGTCCATCTGTCCATCAGAGAGTCAGGACTGGAGGAATGCGTGATGCTTTCTATTTGTTAGTTTTGCTTTTGTGCACAAAATACATGTACAAAGTATGCCATATGAATAATGTTCCAGTGTCCAATAATGACATATGTATTGTTCCAACATTCTCCCCCTTCGGTTTAAACTGAGCTTATCTCAATTTAAAGCTAAACAAGCAAGCATACAGAGCTAGCACGCTAGCAGTCTCACGAGGACAACTGGAATCTCATAACAAGAATACACATCTTAAGACATTAAACTTTTGAGGACTTGTCTGAGGACATATTAAACTTTTGGTGCTAGATTGCATTGAAATCGGATGCTAACAAGGGTACACCACTTGTAAAACCCACGCCCAAATTCCTCTTATGTATGAACTTTTCAATAAAATCAAAGACACAAGCAAAGCAAGACAGTTAGTGAAATGCTATCATTATCTAATGGAATTGTTTTTCCCTTGCATAGTTTTTGACATGTTCTGTGTTCTCCATACATGCAACACACATCTACATGCTTAATTGGAGTCTTTATTTTATTTATTTATTGGTCTTTTTAGATGTACGTAACTTAAACCTAATGGCAGACTTGTTGTCTGTTGGACAATGTTGACAAGCACACCATCACCCCCTGCTTTGAGCTCTGCCTTGACAAGCCACTGGATTGGTTTAAAATTTCCCATCCACATTTAGCCCAGAATTCTCATGGTTGTCTCCAGATGTTTTTGTTATCAGATCACATCTGGCCCTGCGAGACTAGAAACCTCTCTCATCTGTTTGTCTGCCTGTTTTTCGGTTTGTTTGTCCAGCCAGCCATTCTGATATTCCATGTGTGTACACTTGCTGGATGCACATCCAGTAGTAAAGTGAATAAGAGCCTTACCTTCTTACAGGCGTACAATCTGGATAACGTTTTTAGTCAGTCTACAACACCACCTGCATATGCAGAGCTTGTTTCTCATCACTCATGCTGCCTGATTAATGGTTTTTAAGCAGTGTTTTATCAAAGTGCATTTTTTTTTTCAATTTAAACTTTGCTGGAAGTTTAATAAGACACTCAGTTTTACAGTATATACAGTATTGTGCAAAAGTCTTAGGCACCTAAGCATATTATTTAAAGCCATTTATTTTTGCAAAAAGTGTATTTGCTTATGAAATTCTTATCAAAACATCATTAGAATAAATGTGCATAAAATAAAAAATAAAAAGTTTTCATTTTCAAAAAGTAGTATCATTTGTGAGCTTGTTTAAAGAACAAGATTTTGTTACAGACTTCTTCTCAGTGCTCCCAGCAATCAAATGGATATTTTAAGTTCTACCACCAACACGTTTAATTTCATTTAATGAAGGATTGATTTGCCAAACCAGTTATTGGATGATATTCTACAAATAATACTTGGCTGCCATGAAGAGAAGGTCAGAATGTTTGAGCAAATACACATATACATCCCAGATATTTTTTTTTTTTAAATTACATTTTTTCATATGACCAGAACCTCTGCACAGCACACTGTATATTCTGTGTAGTCTGTGTTCATTGGGAACTTAAAGCAATAATTTGACGAAAAATCCAATTTAGACAATTTGGCCTTTACCCTAAGTGTTGTCGACCAGCAAAGACATGTTTGGTATCAGAAGTTATGTTGCGTTCGACTTGGCTCAGAGGTTAGATATCAAAGCTTGGAATTGTGATATCTGAGCATATTTTGGTGTATCCGAGCGTTTGAGCTACAAATTGAGAAAAGCATAGAACATTTGTGATCATTTAGTGATTACAGTATCATTTTTAAGTGGTATAGTTATTACCATTGACCGTGTGAGCAGTCATGTTGATTTGATGTCATATGCTAAGCTTGGAGTTGAGCACACCATCCTGACTTTCTGAGTAGGAATTCTCAGCTGAGGGTTGTAGTGAGCAATATACTAGTTCGTCAGGTATGCTTTTTAAGGTATTAGTTTTGTCATTATTGTTATACTGGTGTGCAAATAAATGCAGATGTCACAACCTACAAACTGTGCAAAACATTCTGATTCCCTCACCTCTCATGTAGGGAGTTGTCGGGTTTATTGTCCAAGTTATTGTCATAGAAAATTGTAATTGACAGCAGATTGTAATGAGTTAATGAGTTAACAGAGGGAAAGAGAGTGGAAGGGAAAACCAGTCTCTTGGGGTTAGCTGTTAGCCATTAGCCTAGCATGGAGAATAAACAGCTTTCCATGTGGACTGCCTGTGGTGCTCCTCATTCAGCCAGCTGCTTCAGACTATGCCACAGTCTCGGCCTACAAGCCAAGAGGCTCTGCAGCTTCTCTGCTAAAACTGATAGTGTGAACAGCTTTTAATATGGACTAAATTACAGAAGTGTCTGACTGTAGATTGTAGATTAAAGCTTGACTGTAAGAGACACACATTTGAGACAAATGACATTTGGACGTAAAATAGCATTCAGCACCGTGGGCTTTACATATGCTCGCCATCATCCCATTAGGGTTAGAAAGCAATATTAACATCTGTCTATAAAATATTAATTTCTAATTTAATAATAAATATGGTTAATATGGATGATAAATATTGTTCTTATTAAAAGTGGGGTAACATACAGAACAATACACCATTGTCTCCAAAAAAGGTAATCATGCAAAATTGTTTTATTTGAAAAAAAAAATCTAAACACACTATTCTGTGATATATGACAAAACCGTCAGTAATCTTAATTATACTGTGATATATATTTTTGCCCATACCACCCACTACTAACCTAGAGGGCGTCTTCTTTGAAATTTCCAAGTCAGAGGTGGGAAATTACTAGATACAAGCTTCAGTCGAACACAGCATTAGACGCTGAGGTTAGCAAACAAGTAAGCTTATACAACCCACCAAGTAGCATTGTGAAAACTTCCCCCCTAAATCATCACACAGTTGCTTCAGATCACATTGAGATGTTAAGTAGTCTCAAATTTGCTTGTGTGCTTTTTAACACTGCATGACACACTGTTATCTGTAAAGACGGTCAATACGGGCAAAAGTCTGGCTTACAGGACAATTTTTAAATATAATTGTGTCATACAGTGTAACAAACCACATAAGCAAGTCTCTTTGAGATGACTAAACAACTCCATGTGGTTTGAATAATGTTTTTTCTCTGTGTGTTCATGTGTATGGTGGTGGGGTAGTGGCAGTGTGTCTTTCTGTGTGTGTTCATGTGATGGTGAGTAATGCTGTGTTTCTGGTGTGTCTGTAGGACCTGGTGTATATAACACATGACTGTGAAGCTCTGGATACAGGCTACAGCAGCCCACGCTACACTGAGGACAGACTGCAGTTACTCGTGGAGACCAGCTGAGACATGCACATACATGCACGCATGCATGCCTAAACGGATCACAGTAATGCTTTCTTTTACAGTCACTTAAATTGTCACTTAGGCTGTGAGTTTTAGGCAGCAAGTGAATTATTTTGGGTAATATGGTAGTGAGTTCCAAGATGGTTCAACTAAATTGCACTGAAGTGTCCGATACAAACTGAATGCGATACAAACTCCAAAGTGCTGTGTAATTCTTTTGGGTAAAATGATGGTAAATATCAAGTCAATATAAATAAATTACACTGAAATGACTAACAGGTTTCAGTTATTAAGCTGATAAAGGACACAGCAAAATGTCTCAAGATTATTTGGAGTAACAAAGTGGTAAACATAAACATTCTCATCGTCATTTTCCATAACGTCACATGTTTAAGCAGGAAAGCAAATTGGAAACACCTTAGAGTACCAAGTAGTTATGTGGCATAAAGTGAAGGCATGAAGTATAAGGATAGTTTTTTATGTAAATGGTAAGAAGTCAGTAATAGATTCAGTCCAGATTCAGTTTTGTTTGTGCAGTTGTAGGCAAAAATTTTGGCACCCCAGTCAAGTTACATTTTCCAAGGGAAAGTAAATCCATGGGTCCTCATCACATTTGAATGCACCTTCTGTTTATTTGCTTAATTTAACATATTGAAAAAATAAAATTATGGCCTGTGCAATAGTTATGGCATTTTATTTCATGTTCTCTATTTTCCAATATGCTAAAATCAGCGAATAAATAGAAATTGGGGATTACAGTTTGCGGGAAAATGTCTTATTGGACTTTCTTCCCTGTGAAGGATGTGTTAATGAATTTGCACATAGAAAATCAACAAAACATGTCATTTGGCCAGGGTTCAAACTTTTGCATATTACTGTAGGTCATAGACGAGTACATACAATGTAAAACTCTTTGTTTTTAGTTTGTATATCTTTAACACCTTAAAACCTGACTAAGCCAAATCAATTATGCCATAGGTCCCCACTTAATTACTAAAACCTGTTGGAAATTTCAGTGTAATATAGTTAGACTGTCTTGGAACTGTCATGTTACCACAAATAATTACCATGCACTTTGGACACGCTTACCTTGTTAATACCTGGGACAGTAGGGGAAAGTAGAAGAAAGCATTACCCACATTGCTTGAGATATCACTTACACTCACAGAAATATATGATGATATGCACATAAATGGATTTGTACACCTTCACACAAATAAATAAAATCATATGCAGTATAATTAACACACAAAAACACACACTCAAAAGAGTGAAAGCAGACATGCAAAACAAACTCTAAGAAAAGAGTTTTTGTTTTTTAACCAAAAACATACGCAAACACACTCTTAAACACACTCTCTCTGACATGCACACACACAAAGCCTGTTCCAGACGAAGTATGTGTGCCCGAGCTGGGTTTGGGGTGCGTTCTCTCACGAATAGACTCTGTTGTGTGTTTCTGCATTCCAGCAGCTGAAAGAAACTTTCCACAGGAAATGTGCTAAATGCCAGCCAGTCCCACACTGAGCCCTGAAAATCCAAAACAACCCGCTTACTGCATGCCTGATTATTTACCACAAACATACCAGTGAGATGCTTTTGCGTTCACATGCACACCAACAATCTGATTTTACCCCACATATGTAACATGTAAACACCTTCTTCTGATTTCTTTAAATTGGGCTTAATTGCATTAAGCAAAACCCATTTAACACACCTGGATCTCAACCCAGTACTTCATCTACAGTGCCAAAGTCTTAAGCTGCCTGAGAAAATAATATGTAAAGCTGCTTATCTGGGCAGAAATAAATACCTACAAACCATCATCAAATACTGAGGCTTTATCGGAACTTCAGTGGGTGCCATGACCATCTATGCAGACAAACTCTAGAGTATAGTAATATTGCTTATAAAATAGGAAAAAAATTTTATACATTGGAAAAAAGTTTAAATTTCTGTCAATTCATCTTTGAAAGTAAGGACAGCAGCTAGCATGTTAGCATGTTCTACTCCTTATCACACTGCTCTGTGTAGGCTAAATGGTCCATCATAGAATCACATCCCTACTAGGAAAAAACAGCACAGGTCATGCCAGTCAATTAGCCTGACCATGTTGGGTGACGACAAGATAGGTAGCTATCATAAACCAGCATAGTCCAGGTTGTTTGTGCTGTGGTTTTCAGTAGGTAGTTATTAGCACTAGCTAGTTAGCATACTTACTATCTACAGGCTAGCAGCTGCTTCAAGTCGTTTTGCCTCTTTCCTTAAACACCTCATTTACTGCACTTAATAACAAGATTTAAAAAACTCTCTACTGAAGACTTGAGACTCACACTCGCAAGACTTGCATGAATCGACTTTTCAGCATTTTCCATACCAAACAGAGTGGTGCTGGTTGTGGTGCTAGCACTAGCTTATCTAGTAAGCTAACAGCTACACACAGCACTTGACAGGTTCTGTTCTGCCTAACTCACTAACACCAATCATTCAACTTCTTCAGATTTGAGTCTTTATCCACTCAGCTTGTGCATTAGCGTTAGTTAGCTGGAATTAAATCTGTACTGTCATGTGTGGTGCTGCTAGCCTTCAAGCTAAGCCAGTGCTAGCACAAAAAAACAGCTACATTCTCTTGTCCTAATTAGCAATTGTTGTGAAATTAATGGCATAAAAACCCATTGAGTGATAAATTGCAATTGTGCCTTTTGTTTACATGAGTTATATTTGCTTTGCAGTTTATTAGATATGTGGGAAGCTTAAATTTCACACTGTTGCAATTTTGTAATACAGTCATAAATTTTAAATTGCGTGGAATACTGCCAGCCAAAAATGGCAGTAGGTGGTTATTTGCTTAGAAAAACACTAGATTAAAAAAACACTTAAGAATAAATACAAATAATCACTAATACAATACACTGTTTTGGAGGAGGTTCCTGAATTGAACAATGCATTTTTCTCTTCCATAAACTTTGATGTAATACATTTTGATGGAAATATTTATGACTTACTGACTAGATTTTCGGTTTTGTTGGTGAGCAAGCAAGTTGGCATTAATAGAAGTGTTACTATTGTGTGTAAATGCTAATTGTGGCAGATGTACAAATTGCTAAAAAATATTTGCTGTCCATTTTTTCTCCGCATGTTTGACTTTGTGAATTATGTACATAGCAGTGTGTCCCCATCTCTCCCACTTCACCCATCATCGCTCACTGGCAGCTCAATACAGCCACTAAAAAATCTTATATCAGAGTTATGTGAAAAATAATTTTTGCAGGATAACAAAGATTATAACAGTGGTTTTGCTCTGCATGAAAATCCTTCAGTCAGTTTATTGCTATTAGTAGATTTTTGCCAGTAATTGAAGTATTGTTGGGTTATTTCACAAAGCAGGATTTCCAGTTAAAATCAGATAATTTAAGCCCAAAGTCAAGCCTGTCCAAAGAGAAAAGAGCTGAGGTACTGTCCTATTGGACAGTCATCATCTTTGGGCTTAAGTTATCCTAGTTCGTGCATTACCCCCTTGGTCTTGTGTGTGTGTGTGTGTGTGTGTGTGTGTGCTGCATATATAATATTTTATGTTGCATAATGTTTCATGTACCTGCTCAGTAGTCACTCTCATAAGCCCTAAGCAGCACTATCTCAGGAGCCGAAAGTTATGAATTCGTATTCTTATCATCTGCAGCGCTTTACTCTCTCTAGAGAAATGCCAACAGTCTCGACTGTTCTGGGAGTGCGTGTTGTTTACCTCAAGTTTGTTTGTTTTTGTTTGTTTACCAGAGAGATCTTTCTTTCAGAACAGTTCTATATATCATTCCTTCTATCCTCTGATGAATCTATATTATACCTGATGTAGCTAATGTTCTATTAATAAACGGGATTATGTTATGAAAAAACTGAATTTCCTGTCCTTTTTTAAAATAAAACTTTGATATACTTTGTATGTTTCAAAATCTTTCATTTACTCCTTTGTTTATAGAATTCATATATGGAAGAGAAGCTGCTAAAACAGCCCATTTTGAATTCGTCATGGTTGTGAAGTTGTAAACGTGACTTGATTGATTTACATATGACCACCCATTCAGCCTGTAACAGTTAAGCCCCTCCCATTCAGGTTCAAGCTAGTAACATAGACTAAACAAACTAAATATGATTAGCCACCAGTAGTAGCTCTTTGGTCAGTGAGAGCTCTTGTTTGCCTAGGGGTTCTGCCACTATTTTAACACCACCGTCAGTCTCTTAATAAGTAACGTTAATGAATGTTAATACATGATGTTAAGTGTTAACAGCCATTTGTAGCCTTACAGATAGCAGATACTTCTCTGTTGGTCTTTGAAAGCCATTACTAATGTAAAATCATCAATGTATTATACTTCCATTTTCATTTATTTTGTTGCGGATATTCAGTACTAGAGTCCTTGATCATTGGTCCTAGAGTTTTTTTTTGTTTGTTTTTAGTACTGGATAAGTTAAAGTATAAGAAACCAAAGAATATCAACAAGTTCTAGATACAAATTTGACACAGTCAGTCAGGAAACTGAAGCTGAAAAGATGCTGGCTTCTACATCAGGATAATGAGCCAAATCCACCATGAACCAAAAGGAAAACAAGTTAAAGCCTCTGGAATGGTCCTTACAGTCCCCTGACTTGAGCATCATTGAAGTGATATGGAGTGTTGTTACTGCAGAGAGTCTGTAACAGAGTTACTGGTGATGTGGGTCAGAGTTGAACATCATTTAAAATCTGTGGGTAGATTAAACATGCTGACAATATAAGACAGCCCAAGATTATCTAGAAGTGTTTGGCAAGAAACAGTGGGTAAAATTTCCTAAAAAGGAATAGAAAGATTCCTAGCTGGCTACAAAAGCATTTACAAGCTGTGATATCTGACAAAGTGGTGTTACTAACCACTGACTTATACTCAAAATAAACAAGTTGTTATATGAATTTAATTAAATTATTCCACACATTGCCATTCAGTCAACCAGAGTAGAGTCAGTATACACACATTTTGTTATATCAACATAATACTTAAGTGTTGATGGAAAAAAATTGAAACATTTTAGTGTCATTTATTTGAGTTTGATTCCCATGGAATTCTCTTTGGATCAACATGAGCAGTTTTCATTCACTGAAATGGACTTCATTTGTTTTTGGTCTATTTTATGTAAACCAGTTACTAACAACACAACAGAATTTACTTATTTAATGCTGATGTTGATTCAATGCCACAATTACTATTTTACTTTTTTTCTGTTTTTACTTTGGAGGTTGTGTTTACATCTTTTGACTTTACAAAGACAGAAAATTATGGAATTTGGCAAATCTACCAAAGTACAAATCTATCAAAATTGTGCATAAGTACACAAAACTGAATAAAAAGAACAACAATATGGGCCTTTTAAATGATGCTGGAAAAACCTGGTCTGGTCAGCAGAATCGTGTCTGGCCTAGATCATTCTCAAACTGTTTTGCAGGGTGGCTTCTGCTGCATTTATTCACCATTAATCAAATAGTTACAACACATTCAGCTGTCTTCAGTCTCTCCACAGCTGTGCTGGCTCTTTTGCTAACTCAAGTCATTGCTCAGGTACTTTGACTCCAAAAAAACATCAAGCCTTTGGAAAACAATTTTTGCCAGCTTTTTCTCTGAGCTCCAGAAATCAGCACTATTGGCTGGATTCATAAGAAGTGAGTGTATTAAAGGGGAATTTCCCTTTACAATGAAATAGAGAAAGAATATTTATCAAGCTGCATTTTTAAGCTAATGAAATTGCTTTGCTTTCTGTGAGTGCTCTCACTGTATTATGGCCAATCAAAATTATAATGCTATATAAGAGTTATAGTCAAGTCAACCGTGTTGTTTTCTCAGCCCTCCAATCACTGCTAAACA